GGGCCCATGGGCCAACGAAGCCCTTCAACCAGAAATCCAGAAACCGAGGGGCCGAAAAACATCGGAAAGATAACGCTGATTAGCAGACGTGGCATGACGTAGTTCAAACTTCGCGGCTGTGCCCGCATACGTTAACTGCGAATCAACATCCCAACACCAGGCCAAACACTAAGTGCAAACTAAGTGCAAACTAAGTGCGTTTTAAGTGCAATTCTAAGTTTGTTCTAAGTCTAAGTTGAGGTACGAACTAAGTAACTTAAGTACGTTCTAGGGTAAGTTCATTTTAAGTTAAGGTGCAGAACTTAAACATAACTTATCATTTCTTTTCTGTGGGTGCCGGATGCTCAGGGGATATGGCGCCGGAAAAAGGCCATTCCAATATTGTTTTTGAAAATGCTGAATTTCTGCTTCTGGCGCCCGGGAAGCCTCCCGGGCCGAATCCGGCGTGCTTCCGCTCGTTCCGAATCGTGCTCCCGCTGCAGCGCTGGCCTCATTTCCGCGCTTCCGCTCGTTTCGACTCGTGCTCCCGCTGCAGCGTTGGCGTCATGTCCCGTGCCATGCCACGGCATGCGAATGCAATGCTAGGTTGATACTACGCTTCGCGGTGCTCTTCTACGCCATGCCACGCCGTGCTCTACAATGCATCGCGTCCCCTTTCGGGATCATTGCCCTGCTCGACATCCGACTGTGCGAGTAGAGAGGGGATCTGCGCCACGGTAAGGGATGGGAGGCAAGGGTAGGATGTCAGAGAGGACGCGAGCGCGCCTAGCTTGCCCCCCCCCCCCTCTCCTCGTTCCTCTCCCGCCCCTCCCGCGCCGTGTTCCCCTGCCCCCTCCAGCTCCTCGGATTGACGATCGAGGTCGCTGGGCCTCTCCTCTCTTCCGGGCGACTCCCCTGTCGCATTTGCACTTCGCCCACTTGGTTCCCTCCTCCTCCTCCTCCTCCTCCTCCTCCTCCTCCTCCTCCTCCTCCTCCTCCTCCTCCTCCTCCCCCTCCTCTCTGTCCCGCCCGCGGGGCCCGCCCTTCCCGCCCCCGTCCCCCGCCCCCCCCCATCCCACTGCTGCCGCCCCCGCCGCCCGCTCCGGCAGGGACTCGCGCCGGGGGCCCGAGTGGCCTCCCGGTGCTCCTGCCGCCTCCCCTGCCCCGTCCTGGCCCCGTCATCCCGGCTCCCTCCCTTCAGCGTCCCTCCTCGTCGGGTTCCGTCCTTTTCCTCCTCCGCCTCCTCCTCCTCCTCCTCCTCCTCCTCCTCCTCCTCCTCTTCCTGCTCCTTTTCCTCCTTCTCTTCCTCCTCCTTTTCCTCCTGCTCCTCTTCCTCCTTATCCTTTTCCTCCTCCTTTTCCCCCTCATCATCCTCATCATCCTGCTCCTGCTCTTGCTCCTCCTCCTCTCCTCCCCCTCCTCTTCCTCCTCTTTTTTTCCTCTTCCACCACCTCCTCCCCCCCCTTGGGACATGAAAGCAGCAGGGTGCCTTTGCCCTAGCTGCTGTTTAGAACAGCGCGTAGCGCTGTTCAAACCTTGGGAAGCCCCCGGGCCGCAGAAGACCCGGGCGCGAAGCGGGAAAAGGGCCGGTGGACCACAGGACTGAAGCGGAGCTGATTAGGACGGCTGTCAGCACCCAGGGGGCCACCACCACCACCACCACCAGCAGGAGGGGGAGGGAGGTCGTCAGCGTCGTCGAAGTCCGTCCCGCCGCCCGCCAGGCCGCCGCCCGCAGGGAAGGGGGGGAGGACCCAGGCGGGCCCCAGTCGGGGAGACCGCGTCCCCGAAAGCCCACCCGCCGAGACCAGCGAACGCCTGCATGATGGCGATTGCCGAGGCGGCACGCCATCACCTGCAGCTGAGCCCGACGCTGAATCGAGCCCCCGGCAGCCGTAGTGATCCACCCCGTTTTCGCAGTGACGCGAGGCTGGGCCCCGGCGCGACCCGCAGATTCTCCCCGAGTTCGAGCCGATGTCCTCCTCCCCCTCCTCCTGCTCCTCCTCCTCCTCCTGAGATTATTTCGTGGGCAACAAATCGGCCGATTTCTTTGCGAAGGGTCGCGCGTCCACCCACGCAGTGGCCAACACGATCGTGGTTTCATATGAAAGTCGACTTCAGGATGGAGGCTTGGTTCACAGCATGGTGTGCGTGCGAGATGACCCATCGTGATGCTCTGAACAATCGGCCCTCCAGGCTCTTGCGTGTAGAGGCCCCAGCACGCCCTGTGGGTCTCACCCGGCGCAATCTGGTGATTCGGGGCCCCCTGTTCCAATGTAGGGCGTGCTTGGACGTGGCCAGGACTCTTGCCAACCGCAATAACTTACTGCTGGCAGCATGCACGCTGACGACCCAACAGAGGCTCAAGGCGCTAGGCGACCTCCAGCTCCAGAGAGCTCCTTTTCGGAGAGATGCCACGCTGTTGCCGCCGCGTCAGAGGTGTCTGGCGCGAGCTTGGGCGACGAAGGAGCCCGCTCATGCGAATCAGGGGCCCGAGGGTGTCAGTGCGCCGCTTGATGAAGCGATCGTCGAGTTCAATGGGCACCACGCGTCGGTGACCCGTGGCGCGATGGTGTGCACCCAGTGCGGGTCCTAGGTCCTATCAGGTGACGTTTGCTGTACGTTCGGGGGCGATTCGTGTAAAGGGCCGTATGAACACCCACTTGCACGAAGTAGGGGTGCGTGCGGGCAAAAATCCAAAGATTGGGGAGCCTTTGGATGTTGCTCTATCGTTTTGCTTACTTTTTTGCCACGTCTCGCGCTGGCACAGCCCAGTCTGACCTCACGCGTGCCCATGAGATGTGCGGCGATCTCGGCTCAATGTTGGCCCGTGCTCCCATATTCGGCTGCACGACCCGGCCACCTGCTGGTCCTCCTGCTCCTCCTCGTCCTCGTCCTCCTCCTCCTCCTCCTCCTCCTCCTCCTCATCATCATCATCATCCTCCTCCTCCATGATCCTTCCTCGCCCATTTTCCTGCTGCTCCTCATTTCCTTTCCTTCCCTCGCGATGGCATCCCCTCCCGCTCAAACGGGCAGTCTCTGGGTCTCGATGGTGGCCTGGAGGGCTGCCGTTTTTTCCTGTCGTTTTTTCTCCTCTCGCTGCGCTCTCGGGCACGTTCCAGGAGGAATTATCCTGGCGAAGGACCCAACCATATGCAATTGTGAGTACCGCGGTTGTGGGCCCCGCCTTCGGTGGAGCTCCCTGTGTGGCCACGAAATGCGTGAGGGTTGCGCCGAGATGGGCGCCGTGGCGCCATGCGAACCTTGCCGCTGGGGCCTTCGGTGGGGCTGCCTGTGGGGCCGCGAAGCGTGTGAGGGGCATGCCGAGATTGGTGCCGCGGCGCCATGCGAACCCTGTCACGGGGGCGGGGTTTTCGATGGAGCTCTCTTTGGGGTCACGAAGCGTGAGAGGGGTGTGCCGAGATGGGGCGGTGGCGCCATGCGAACTTTGCCACTGGGGCCTCCGGTGGAGCTCCCTGTGGGGCCACGAAACGTGTGAGGGGTGCGCAGAAGTGGGTCGGGGCCGCCATGCGAACTTTGCCAGTAGGGCCTTCGGCTGAGCTCCCTACAGGCCACGAAACGCTTGAAGGGTGCGCCGAAATGGAGCGGGGCCGCCATGCGAACGTTGCCACTGGGGCCTTCGGTGGAGCTCCGTATAGGGCCACGAAGCGTGTGAGGGGTGGGCCGAAACAGTGCGGGGCCGCCATGCGAGTTTTGCCACTGAGGCCTTCGGTGGAGATCACCATCGGACCAGGAATGCGCCGAAATGAAGCGGGGCCGCCATACGAACTTTGCCACTGGGCCCTTCGGTGGAGATCCTCATGGGGCCGCGACACGTATGAGGGGTGGGCCGAAAAGGGCGGGGCCGCCATGCGAGTTTTGCCACTGAGGCCTTCGGTGGAGATCACCATCGGACCACGAAACGCATGAGGGGTGCGCCGAAATGAAGCGGGGCAGCCATACGAACTTTGCCACTAGGCCTTCGGTGGAGCTCCCTATGGGGCCACGAAACGTGTGAGGTGTGTGCCGAAATGGGGCGGGGCCGCCATACGAACTTTGCCACTGGGCCCTTCGGCGGAGCTCCCTGCAGGCCAAGAAACGTGCGAGGGGTGCGCCGAAATGGGGCGGGGCCGCCATGCGAACTTTGCCACTAGGGCCTTCGGATGAGATCCCCATGGGGCCTCGAAGCGTGTGAGGGGTGCGCCGAAATTGGGCGGGGTCGCCATGCGAACTCCGCCATTGGGGCCTTCGGTGATGAGACCACGGAAAGTGTGAGGGGTGCGCCGAAATGAGGCGGGGCCGCCATACGAACTTTGCCACTGGGGCTTTCTGTGGAGCTCCCCATGGGGCCACGAAGCGTGTGAGGGGTGTGCCGAAGCAGATACATGCGGAGGGCAGAGGCAAGGGAGGGAGAAGGGAGGAGGAAGAGGGGAGAGGAGAGGAAACGAACGCTGGTCGCTGTCTCGTTAAAACGAGGACCCAACACCACAGGATGCAAGATCGGGGCCGGCAACATCACGAAGAAAAAGCAACTGCGCAAATGTAAACATTCGGCGCTCCGCGCGGTTTCTCGGATGCGCGGCAGAGTTCCGAAAGTTGATGCTTCTATTATTTGGCTTCGTCTAGTAATGGACCTTTTGGTGCCGACGTGGGGCCGGTGTGGAGCCTAGGGGACGCAAGGAGGGCCCTCGAAGAAGGGACGCCCAGCCCTAGGAGGGAGGAGGGCGAGAATCAGTTTATGTGTTTTGTCATTCAAGTTATGCCTGCCCTCTACATATGATGCAAAAGCTGACGAGGGCGAAGCACAAGAAGGAGGACGACGGCGATGGGGACGTCGAGAATGGGGGGGAGCAGGACGATGATGGACGACGACGACGTCGACGGGAGCGACGACGACGAAGACATCGACAACGACCAAAGACAAAGAAAAAAATGACTCCGAGGACGACGAGGACGACGACAGACGAGGACGACGAGGACGACAGCGACGGCAATGCAGAGGGGGATGGCGACGAGCCCCCCAGGCTGTGTTCGGCGTCGATGGGCCGAGAGAGCCGCTGCGAGCCGACTGGCATCGGGCTGGAGGTGGGGACGTGCGACGACCCGTTTTGCAGGAGCGGCGGCGGCGCAAGGGGTCGTCGTCGTCGTCGTTGTCGTTGTCCTGCGAATCGTCCGTCGTCCGCCGTCGTATGGGAAGGCGCGAAGGGGGAGGGGGAGGAGGGGGGGGGGAAGGACGGGGCAGCAGAGGGGAAGGATTGGAAAGATGGTGGCAGGGCCAGGTGTGGGAGCAGGAGGACGGGGAGGAGGAAGGCGGGGAGAACGCGAGGAGGCACGAGCACCGCGAGGAGGCCTGAGGGGTAGAATGGGCGAACGGGCTCGAGACGGAGGAGGGGGAGGTGGGAGTATGGGAGGAGGAGGAAGAGGTGGAGGGGGAGAGACAGAGGAGGGGGCGGGGGATGACGGCGAGGACGGGGATGGGTCCACGAGAGGGCAGGAGCGTGTCCTCTCAGGGGAGCGGGTCGGTGCGGCATGCCGCCGTGGCCGCGGTTGCTTCGGCTGGGATGGCCCCGCCGCGCAGGTGCCAGCGGCCGCGCCCGACCGCCGTGAAGCGTCGAAGAAGAAATAATAAGTTTTATCCCAGAGCGACCCTACCTAGGAGTTGGAGCCCCGAGGAGAGCAATACTAGTAGTAACGGTAAGCGCCGTCCTCCTCCTTCTCCTCATCGTCGCAGTTGTAGCAGCAGCGGTAGTAGTAGTAGTAGTAGTGGTAGTAGTAGTAGCAGCAGCAGCAGCAGTAGTAGTAGTAGTGGTAGTTGCAGCAGCAGCAGCAGCAGCAGCAGCAGCAGTAGTAGTAGTAGTAGTAGTAGTAGTAGTAGTAGTAGTAGTAGTAGTAGTAGTAGTAGTAGTAGTAGTAGTAGTAGTAGTAGTAGTAGTAGTAGTAGTAGTAGTAGTAGTAGTAGTAGTAGTAGTAGTAGTAGTAGTAGTAGTAGTAGTAGTAGTAGTAGTAGTAGTAGTAGTAGTAGTAGTAGTAGTAGTAGTAGTAGTAGTAGTAGTAGTAGTAGTAGTAGTAGAGCTTACATCCACATCTACATTGCGTTTGCTGTGTATTTCATGTGCCTTGCGTGTGCGTGTGCTTTGTTTTGCTTTGCGTTGTTTGTGCTGTGCCTTGCTGTTGCTGCTGTTGCGTTGCCTTGGCTGTGATGCTATGATATGATATGATATGATAAGCTGCACTATGCTATGCTATGCTATGCTATGCTATGCTATGCTGCGCTATGCTATGCTATGCTAGGCTGCGCTATGGTATGCTAGGCTATGCTATGCTGCGCTATGCTATGCTGCGCTATGCTATGCTGCGCTATGCTATGCTATGCAATGGTGCGATATTATATGCTATGCTATGCTGCGCTATGCTATGCTAGGCTATGCGATGATATGTTATGATGCACTATGCTATGCTGTGCTATGCTATGCTGCGCTATGCTATGCTATGCTATGCTATGCTATGCTGCGCTATTGCATGCTATGATATGCTATGCTATGCTATGCTATGCTGCGCTGTGTTATGCTAAGCTATGATATGTTATGCTATGATATGTTATGCGATGCTGTCTTATGCTATGATATGTTGTGATATGCTATGTTGCGCTACGCTATGTTGCGCTGCGCTATGCTAGTATATGCTATGATATGGTATGATATGCTATGCTATGCTAATGCTGAGCTGAGCTAAGCTAAGCTAAGCTAAGCTAGGCTAGGCTAAGCTAAGCGAAGCTAAGTTAAGCTAGGCTAAGCTAAGATGAGATAAGCAACGCTAAGGGGAAGTAACTGGGGGAACCGCGGGGCGGATACTGGGGGAACCGCCCGGGGCGCTTTCCACTGCCCGGCCCCTTTACGTCCAGAGAGTGAGAATCCTTCTAGGCAGAGCCTAGGTAGGGAATAAGAAGAAGAAGAAGAAGCAGAAGCAGAAGCAGAAGAAGAGGAGGAGGAGGGGGGGACCACAGGGGGCCCTGAGATCCTGGCGTATCGATCTTGTCGATGCTTCGTCAGGGGGGAAGGGCATGGGCAACATTGAGACGCCAAATTTCAGATTGGGTCTCGTCAGTTACTCAGACGGCCCCTGCAGGCCAACTCGAGTCCTCCAAACTCGAGTCTCACGTCTTCCCCAAAGGGGGGGAGGTCCAGGGCGAACGCATCGACTTCGAATCGCCCATTGATCTCCGATGCGGGCCCGATGCGCGCCGATACTGGAAACAAGGGCGAGAGTTGGGGGACGGGGGGGAGCACCTGTGAGGATGGTCGGGGAGTCGGAGGAGAGGGGGCATCAGGAACGGCGGCGCCATCCGTGGCGACGGGAAGTACTGCCACAGGTCGCAGGTTGTGAGTTGCACTGGCGACGCCGCGCCCCGGATCGTGGACGCCTGCGCCGACCGCAGGCAGTACCTGTTCGAGGACTGCTACTCGGTCACCGGGAAGGAGGGGAAGAGGGGTTCAGGGTCAACGGCGGGGTGGCACTGGCGCAGGGGTGTACGCCCTTGACCTTCCAGAGTGCTAGAAAATAACACTCCAGACCTAAAGACCTATCTGGACTGCCTCAAACCTCCACAAGAATTTGGACGTCGACGTCCCGGTGCTACTTTTTAGCCCCCCTGGAAGGTCAGGGGCATCGCCCCCCGGACGCCCCCTCCTCGCCGATCGCCGCCCGGGCCCCCCCCGCGGCCTGGGCCCCCTCGGCCGCAGGCAGTTCGGGGGCAAGGACGTTGCGCCCCGGACCTCCGCACCCCTTCCGCCCCACGTGCACGACGACGTACGCACGACGACGGGCGAGGCGACGACGCGAGACGACGCAGACGACGACGCGCCACGACGAGGGTCGGGCCTGCCGTCTCCTCCACGTGCTTCCCTGGCCCCCTCCTGCTTGCCGATTTCGATTCCGATCCGGCTTGGCCAAGTCCGCTTTCCGACTCGGTCCGACTCTGGCTCTGCTCCTTGGGGCCGCCGATTCGGTGGCGCAGCCGATAGTCAGCCGGTGCCTGCACATTCGGATCTCTGTTTGTAAATCTGGTTCGATTTGTCGAGCCGATGCTGGGGCCAGCTGCAACGAAAGGGTGGCATTGCCTCAGGGTCAGGGGTTTGCGTGGTCCTTCATGTAGGCATCAGAGGCGTCCGACATGTCGTGCGGTTTGGGTATTTCGCCGGATTTGGTCGACATTTGGACGAACCCTGGACGAAAGGGTGCAGACGAAATTTGGACGAGATCCGGTCGAAGCCACGTTTGTCCGGACGATAGGGCCGCGGAGGTCCGCCGAGTGAGCGGTGAGCGAAGGGGGGGGGAAGTGAGGAGGAGAAGGCCCTCTCAGAGAGCGGCGGGGCTCAGAAGGCCTCCGGCCTTCAGAGAGGTCTTTTGTGTCTTCGGGGAAGGCTCAGGGAACTTCTCAGGAGGCAGGGGGACTGCCGAGCCTCCTGAGAGCACAGAGATCCGACGCAGCGAAAAAGATTCAAGATTGTAACAATCACGCCCATAGCCGTAGATCCCATATTTCTGCGTCATTTTTCAAGCCGCATCGATCTGTGAGGGCCCCGGGGCCCGAAAAAAGGCGAGAACGCCCGGCTCGAAAAATTGAGCCGCCAGGATCTCAAGGAAGGCCTTCTCCCGCTCGCTGCCCCCCCCCTCCACGTGCGCCGCTGACTGGGGCCGCGGAGGTCCACAGAGGCTCCGCAGCAGGGGGCGGGCGCATCACCCCCCCCATCGCCGCGATGCCTCGCCGAGGGCGCCCCAGGCCCCCGCCGATAGCCTGCCCCCCCCCCCCGGGGATGTGTCTCGCGGCGTCGTTGCCGAGGGCTGGTCGTCGATGTGTCCTGGCGCGCCTATACTCACAGGCGTCATAGTTTTCTCATTGCTATTAAAACTTGTGGGTGGAAGAAAAAGCACGATGTCCGCCTGGGACCCCGTCGGAGGAGCGGAAATGCGAGCGCAGTGGCGCGAGCGGCCACGCGCGTCCCGCCGCTGGTAATAACGTGAATGTGCGGGCGTCGCGGCGACGACGACGGCGTCGGCGACGACGACGGCGGCGTCGGCGCCGACGGCGATGACGACGGCGGCAACGGTGACGGCGGCGACGACGAACGTTGCGGCGACCGCGGCGAATGGGCCTGGACCTACGGGCGAACTTGCGCCCCGCCCTCGTTCCAGAGTCCCGCGCTAGAGTTTATGGGAGGGGCGAATTTTCTGCGCGCAGTTTTACCCCAGCCGTCTATCCGCTTTACTAAGCTCTCCTTTTGCTGTAGTGAAACGTCGTTTTCGGAATGTATTGAGCTGCGCGACTTTACTAAAGCTGCTTTCTCGTTTTAGTAAGGCCGCTTCTTCGCTTTAGTAAAGCCGTTTCCTCGCTTTAGTAAAGCCGCTTCTTCGCTTTAGTAAAGGCCGCGGTCTGCCTTAGCAAAGCCTTGGGGGTGTGGGGCCAGGGCCTGGTCGGGGGGCAGGGGGCTCTTTTCTTCCCTGCCAGTTCACCCCGCGATGCATTTGCTCGAGTAGTCAGGGTCGCGTTGCATCTTGTCGCGGCGATCCTGGGACATGTTTTCAGCGAGCTGTAGATGCTCCTTGACAGGAGATTCAAGGCGCAAGCGCAGGACGTGGCTCGGCAATTCGTACGCGCCGCCGCGGCTGGCGCGCAACAGAGCAACAGCACTTTGCCTAAAAGGCTCGTTCCCCTTTAGCAATAGCTCCTTCAAAGTAATAGTATGAATTTTCCGCTTCCGATATACGGGGTCGGACCGAAGTGTCAGATCGAAGCCGGTTCTCGGAGGACGAACGCGTACCCCTACCGCTACCCTTCGCCCGTCTTTTGGGGGGGAGCCTCATGGGAGGCCCTCGTCGCCACCGCTGGGTTCGCCTCAGAATTCGGGTCAGAAAGCACCCCAGGAGAGGCCCTGGGATCAGCGGTATCAGTACCGTTTGAGTTCCCTATGTTAGAGGAGGGCATTGTAATATCCCCCGTGCCCTTGTCGGGTGTTTTTGCGCATCGTGGGGGGGGGCCTAAAGTTTGTGTTCAGGTTGGCCCGTCGAGTGCCCGATGTTCTTGAAGGATGTTCTTCTATCTCCGTTCCAGCTGTAGGCCTGCTAACGTACTATCTGAGAACATTTTGTGGTTTGCGCGGGGTGTCACTGGCATGGAACACTTTTGGTCGATACAACAATGTTTCACACATGTTGACTTACGTGTCAAAAACACTGTTGTTGTTGTGTTGTTGTTGTGTTGTTGTTGTTGTTGTTGTTGGTGGTGGTGGTGGTGTTGTTGTTGTTGTTGTTGCTGCTGTTGTTGTTGCTGTTGCTGTTGTTGTTGCTGTTGCTGTTGCTGTTGTTGTTGTTGTTGTTATTGTTGTTGTTGTTGTCGAACATACTGTTGTTCGGGGAATATCTTGCGGGAGTCGTATTGGAATCATGGGACGGTCGGTCCCTGCGCAGGATGTATCGCCGATTCCATGTCGATGTTCCCCCCATGAGCCGCCCCCACCATTAGGGTTCCTCCTGGGAGGGGAGGATCCTCCTCCTGCCTCGTCACCCTGCGCTCGCCCTTCCGCACAGCACCTGTGGGACGGGCCAAGAATCGAGATGAATATGTTCCACAGGGCTTTCTAGAACGCTTTCAGAGCGTTCCGGAACGCTCTGAAACGGCCGCGGCGCCCGATACATTTTCCAAGACCGCCGATCTTCAGAGATTTCCGATTTGATGCGTTCCAGAATGGTTTTTCTTCGAGTGTTGAAGGAGTTGCCAGTTTTTCTTCGGCGGAAAGTCGCGTAATATCGACGGAAGGCCGTGGAATTAAAACCATGGCAGCTCCGCCGGAGGAAGCTGGCGGAAGGCCGGCGGGAGCCGGCGGAAGCATAAGTCGACCTCAGAGATGCCAGTTTTTGTTTGGGTTCAGGGTCTTTGGATTCCGCCATTCACAGCGGTCCGATTTTGTGTCGTCTCTGCTTCCGCCTTGACCAGCAAGCTGCACAAGCACACGCTCTCGGTGGTGGGCGCTGGGTGGCCCCGCCCGGCGGCCCTTCCGGCAACGCACCCGCGCGCCGGGGAGCGGGGAGTGCAGCGCCGATCCACTACTTGCCGGTGGTCGGAAGTGCTATATCTCATGGAAGACAACTGCCAGGGAGGTTTGTTCAAGGGGGGTTGCCCAGTGGGGTCGTTTGGGTCCCCGCTGGGTTGTCCCACGGGTTGTCCGGGGTCAGCATGGGCTGTCTGGGTTGTCTTGAGTGTTGTCTGGGCCGTCTGGGAGGTTGTCCCAGCATTTGTGTCGATCCTATTCTTTCTATTGCACATAGTATGTATTTCTGGATCCCCAGATCCCAATCCACTTTGGGCGCCTTCCTACTTCGATCCACGAGCGTCTTTACCTCTTCTTTCTTCCTACGGGGGCGGGCGGAGACCCAGTCTACTTTCTACGTTTCCTGCTTCGTGAATCGACCCACTTCTTCCGACCAGCGTGTAAACTGGTCGGGATTTCCGAAAGGGTTTGGTGATGCAGATGTTGTTTCCTCGATTGGTGCTCACAGGGCCAGCCCTCCACCAGCAGCTCCAGGTGGAAGCTGGCAGATGCAGCGGCTCCTGTGAGGCCCTCTTTAGGTCATCTTGGGCCGTCTTGGTGCTCTCTTGGGTCGTCTCGATTCTGTTTTGGGCCTGTCTGCAGACTCTCGGGGCCCTCTTGGGGCACTGTTGGGCCATCCTGGGGCTCTCTTTGTCTGTGGCTATTTGGGCTCCTCCTTCGCTGCTCCGAAGCAGACTGGATTCATCTTGAGCCCATAAGGCTGCGAAGTGATCAAGATTCACGTTTTACTTGGGCCTACCTGGTTACCCACGATGTTGGGCCTCCTATAGCGGGCCGTACAGACACCCTACCAGACAGCATTTGGCACGCTGTCTGACATCAACGTGCCAGTGGGCACGGTGGCTGATATATTCCAACAACCCCACACAAGGAAACAATGTACTCCCTCTATGACATTAGGACGTAGATGTATAAACCTTGAATAAAGCGTATAGGATGCCTACTCCTTGACAACGTAGAACAGTTTTTAACAATTCCGCTACAAAAGGCAGTTGTGTTTAACATCTCCACACATGTTCAATCTGTCTGGAATTTGCATGACAATGAAACAGGTCCAAGAACGCCCTGGCCTCCACCCGTCCTCAACGTCTCAAGGAGGACGCTCCGAGTGGTGGGTCTGGGAGGCTTGGCCGATGTCCGGTATTTTCATCTTCGCCTGTTGTCATAGTTGCTCGCCCCCCACCCCTAACCCCCACGCTAACACTCGCTACAATATACATCGATGTGCAACCCTCCGCAGCAATATCATATGTCCACACCATCCACACCAGAGGCATATGCAAGAACCCTCAACTAACGACTTCAATGTGTTTGACTGGCCGTAGAAGGTTACACGTATCCATACATATGTAAATATAAATATATGTAGACTTCCATGTGTGGAAACCGTCCGCAAGGATAATCCACGTGTAAATCAGCTGCCGCAGGAACGTACTTGTAAATCAGTTTCCGAGGAACGCACGTGCCAATCCAGCACAAGGGGGATTTGTGCGTGACTCTTTTGGCGTTCGAGAGGACAATGAACATCATGAGCGATGTAATGCAAGACTTGAACAACGAAAGAACTGAAGCTTGCACCAGCCCATACCGAACCATGCCCAATATGGGCTTACGCATGCGCCAACGTCTCGCAAACCGATGCTGCCGGTGGCTCCGCTCAGAGTCACCCCCCTTTCATGTTGTCCTGTCTCCTTATCTGCGGCGCCGAAGTTAGATACATGCACATCCGTAACAGGACGTCCTTGTGAAACCCAGTAGGCGTGCTTTGCGCCCCAAGCCAGGGAGGGGAGCGGGGATCAAGGGGAGGGTGGAGACAGCGGCTAGAAGGTCCAGAAGCGCGAATGCATGGAGTACACCGACACGGACATCCGCTGCGCGGGTTCGCATTCCCACTTGGAGGGGAACGGCTGTTATGATGGCAGACGCAGGAGGAGTTGGTAGCTCGTCTTTTTGTTCTACCGCCTTGCGCGTGTTGGTAGTAGTACTACGATCCCTCGAGATCGCATGGTGCGCGGGATTTCTACTGACACGCGCATTCAGCATTATTCAACCGCTTTGCGAACGCCTGCGTACTCGGGAGGTCGTTTGATGGTTGCAGTTTCCCAATATGTCGTGTGGAGCTTGCGCGGGGGAGAAACAGTTGCTTGCCAGATTGAATGCAACACTCAAGGGGTCCACCCCAGCCCACATCTCACCATGGAAACCCGAAAGCACGAGAAAACAAGTCTTCACGCGTCGCGTATCCCCACCAGCCCATTCGGAAACCTTGCCCATGAGAGTTCACGGGAAAAGGGACGAAGAGACATGTAGTGAAGCAAAGCGGACGGCCAGGGTGAACAGAGAGATGTTCTCCAAAGCCCAGTGGTCGAGACTTCTGTTGATGGCGTGCGAATCCAGCCAAGGCTGCCATTCTCGCGGGCCGCCCGCCGACCTGGCGGCGCGCGTGCGGGCGCCTGCTCCCCGCGTTGAAACGTGCAGGACGGAAGCGGAAAGGCTGGCGGGCGAGCTGGGCTTCGGCCGCTGCATGCGCTCGTCGTGGACAGGAGATCACTCGAGGCGCCGGAGCGATGTGGCGCGGGCTGCGCTGCTCATTGGCAAACCGTTGGACAAATCGGCGCGGTCCTTTCTCATCCCGTTTCCCTCCCCATGGTCCCCTTCCTTCTTCATCGCCTCCGCCTTGTTGCTGCGTTCCCTTCTGGGCCCCCCGCTGCCGCCATTATCCTATCCTTCGTTCCCGCGCCCTTCCTGTTCGTGCCTGGTGTTATTCCATTCGCCTTGCTACTTGTTTATTGCGATGTGCGCAACGCAAGCGCATCCCATGTAACTTGTACAGCACATGAAATTCTTTGCACTGTCGCCATCCATGCGAATCTGGCCGTTAGTTTTGGTCACCGGATGCAAATGGGTCGGGTGCGTCGCAGGACGCTCGCGTAAAACAGTCATGGTTTGGGGAGCGTGGATTTTTCTGATCGAGGGTCATGGCTTCGGGAGTGCGGGACGACTGTTTGTTACAAGGGGGCAAAGGAGGGCGACGCATGCTTCCGAACGTGGCGAGGTGGAAAGGGGCGGGCTTTCTTAGAGCATTTCGGAAAACTTACCAGGCAGCCCGCGGCATCCCACCATGTCTCAGCGTGCCAGAGGCGGCACGGTGGCGGATTACGTCGGCCCTCGACAGCGTCCGCCTGATTGGGCGCCCGCGCAAGCGCTGGCATTATTGATTTCCCACATGATGGGAGGACCCGACGTTCCGGGGGCACGGGGACGGGCCCAAAGGTTGCAGCGGCGCTCGCACTCGTACTCCGTTTGTGGCGGCGCGCGCACACGGGGGGGCGCAAGGGGGGTCGTTTGGACGGTAAGTCAGCGAATCGTATTGTCGTCTTTCATTGGACGCATACCGAATAGAGCCAACTCGCACGCGCACCGCGTCCCCCCGAAAAACAGTAACGCACAGTGGTGCCCAATTGGCGCCCAACAAGCGCTTCTTGTGCGCCATGTGAAGGACATGCATAGTGCCCGCTTTGCGCGCTATTGGACGTCATTGAATTCGTTATTGGGCGCCATTGGGGCGACCATCTTCCCTGAATCGTCCACGAAGGTTTGTTATGTTTCAGCGGGGCGTGGTTTAAGAAGCCTAAGAAGCCGGGGCGTCCAAGTTTGTTACATGTCGCAAGATTGTTTAACCATGCCCTTGTTTTGTTTAGACAGCCCCCACCTGGTTTCTCAGAGGACCGCCTGCCTTGCGTCGCCCCCATTTACCGCCACCCTGTGCCCCTTTGTCCCCCTCTCCGTGCATTTGTTTGCGCCGTGCTGCACCTCGGAAGAGCCACGGTGTCCTCTCAGAGCGTCGCCTCGTGCCCCGTTCTCTGATTTTGTTGCGCTTTTCGCGGCGCGCGGCAGCCTGTGTTGCGCCCGCAGCGTTTTTGCATCCTGATTCCCTCCTTGTCTACTTGTCTACACCACGCGATTGAATGGAACGCGACGCGAGGCTACTTGGATGACTGCGGCGGCTACGGGGATAGGGGATTGAAAGTGCAGGTTGCGGTAAGTTATACATGGCCCAGCCTATCTGATGAGTGTGTTGGAAGTGCCCGAAGGGGCTCACGGGGCGAATGACATGGGCTAAGTTGGCGGCGAGTTACCCTACTCTTTCAAGTCAATTCGGGCATGTCCAACATATTCAAATGCTAGATTGGGCCAGGTAAAACTTACTGCTGCATTTACTTGAAGCCCCATGTGCACTTCAGCAACCGCTATAGCTTCATCCAAGTAGACGGCTGTTTGGCGAGGCCAGCGCCAGAACAATTTTGAGCATGTTGCACCATTGTGAGAAAAATAAACGCACGAACGACCCAATGCACAACAAAAACGCACGAAGCGACCCAATGCACGGGGGATGGACGTCCGACGGATGGCAAGCTCCCTCTCTAGACCACGCAATCTATTGGAACACGATGTGCAGTCACGACCTCTTGCGCCCTGCCCGAGCGGGCACGGGCACGTCCATTTGCCTGGCACCGGCGCCGCCAGTTCCCTCTCGCGGGCAGGCGGCTCCGGTTGGCCCAAAGTTGGGCAGCCCATTGGTCGCCATGAGGCAAACGGGTCTTAAGGAAACGGGTCCTGGAATGTTCGAAAAAGCAAGAAAAACAGTTGCATAACATAAGTTTCCTGGAGGCGTGCGGACTTTCGAAAGCTTATTTTTATATACTTCGTATCATCACCATTGGTAATGTTATGATTTTTGTCGTAGCGGTAGTAGTAGTAGTAGTAGTAGTAGTAGTAGTAGTAGTAGTAGTAGTAGTAGTAGTAGTAGTAGTATTAATAGTAGTAGTAGTAGTAGTAGTAGTAGTAGTAGTAGTAGTAGTAGTTTTAGTAGTAGTAGTAGTCGTAGTAGTAGTAGTAGTAGTAGTAGTAGTAGTAGTAGTAGTAGTAGTAGTAGTAGCGGTAGCAGTAGTAGTAGTAGTAGTAGTAGTAGTAGCGGTAGCAGTAGTAATGGTAGTAGCAGTGATAGTAGTAGTAGTAGTAGTAGTAGTAGTAGTAGTAGTAGTAGTAGTAGTAGTAGTAGCAGTAGTAGTAGTAGTCGTAGTAAGTAGTAGTAGGTAAGTAGTAGTAGTCGTAGTCGTAGTCGTAGTCGTAGTCGTAGTCGTCGTAGTCGTAGTCTAGTCGTAGTAGTAGTAGCAGCAGTAGTATAGTAGTAGTAGTAGTAGTAGTAGTAGTAGTAGTAGTAGTAGTAGTAGTAAGTAGGTAGTAGGTAGTAGTAGTAATTAGTAGTAGTATAGTAATGGTAGTAGTAGTAATAGTAGTAGTAGTAGTAGTCGTCGTAGTCGTAGTCGTAGTCGTAGTCGTAGTCGTAGTCGTAGTCGTAGTAGTCGTAGAGTAAGTAGTAGTAGTAGTAGCAGTAGTAGTAGTAGTAGTAGTAGCTGTAGGGTAGTAGTAGTAGTAGTACTAGTAGTAGTAGTAGTAGTAGTAGTAGTAGTAGTAGTAGTAGTAGTAGTAGTAGTGGTGGTAGTAGTAGTAGTATTGTAGTGGTAGTCGTAGTAGTAGTAGTAGTAGTAGTAGTAGTAGTAGTAGTAGTAGTAGTAGTAGTAGTAGTAGTTGTAGTGGTAGTAGTAGTAGTAGTCGTAGTCGTAGTCGTAGTCGGAGTCGGAGTCGGAGTCGGAGTCGGAGTCGGAGTCGGAGTCGGAGTCGGAGTCGGAGTCGGAGTCGGAGTAGTAGTAGTAGTAGTAGTAGTAGTAGTAGGTGTTGTTGTTGTTGTTGTTCCCCATATCCTAAGATGGGGTTCTTGTTATTACTTGGACGCCTCCTACTGCCTCTCCCTCCTCCTCTTTCCTCCTCCCCTCCTCCTCTTTCCTCATACTCAGACCTACTCATACTCAGACTTACTCATACTCAGACGTACTCATACTCAGACCTACTCATACTCAGACTTACTCACACTCAGACGTACTCATACACAGACTTACTCATACACAGACTTACTCACACCCAGACGTACTCATACACAGGCGTACTCATACCAGACTTACTCATACACAGCATTACTCATACTCAGACTTACTCATACCCATACGTACACATACACATACTTTCTCATACACAGACCTACTCATACACAGACTTACTCATACACAGACTTACTCATACTCAGGCATACTCATACTCAGACCTACTCATACTCAGACTTAGTCAACACACATCAGATTTGGAGGATGTCTCAAGCGGGGCGCTGGTTTCAGCACCCCTCAGGGGAGCCGCCAGGTGTGGTTGCACGGGCTCGTTCGCGGCCATTTTGTGGGGATGTCTCAGGCGGTTTGCTTGTTTCTGTGCTCAACATCCTGCGCTTGGAGAGCAGATTGTGAGGGTGTCTCAGGCGGGGCGCTGGTTTCAGCACCCCTAAGGGGAGCCGCCAGGGGTGGTTGCACGGGCTCGTTCGCGGCCATTTGTGGGGATGTCGCAGGCGGTTTGCTTGTTTCTGGGTTCAACATCCTTCGCTTGGAGAGCAGATTGTGAGGATGTCTGAGGCGGGGCGCTGGTTTCAGCACCCCTAAGGGGAGCCGCCAGAGGTGGTTGCACGGGCTCGTTCGCGGCCATTTTGTGGGGATGTTTCAAGCGGTTTGCCTGTTTCTGGGCTCAACACCCTTCGCTTGGAGAGCAGATTGTGAGGATGTCTCAGGCGGGGCGCTGGTTTCAGCACCCCTAAGGGGAGCCGCCAGGGGTGGTTGCACGGGCTCGTTCGCGGCCATGTTGTGGGGATGTCTGAGGCGATTTGCTTGCTTCTGGGCTCAACATCCTTCGCTTGGAGAGCAGATTGTGAGGATGTCTCAGGCAGTGCGCTGGTTCCAGCACCCCTAAGGGGAGCCGCCAGGGGTGGTTGCACGGGCTCGTTCGCGGCCATTTTGTGGGGATGACTCAGGCGGTTTGCTTGTTTCTGGGCTCAACATCCTTCGCTTGGAGAGCAGATTGTGAGGATGTCTGAGGCGGGGCGCTGGTTTCAGCACCCCTAAGGGGAGCCGCCAGGGGTGGTTGCACGGGCTCGTTCGCGGCCATTTTGCGGGGATGTCTCAGGCGGTTTGCTTGTTTCTGGGCGGGGCGGAGGAACAGGAGGAGGAGGAGGAGGAGGAGGAGGAGGGCGCTTTGCTCGAAGGTCCGTGAGGCGAGCAGAACGTTTGTTCCGAAGTCCCGGACATATATATATATATATATATATATATATATGTATATATATATATATATATATGTATTCATAGGGGGTGACTGCGAGGGGGGGGGCGGTGGTTGTGTGCGGGGATCGTTGGAAATGCTCACCGTGGCACTATCCTCCAACATGACATGCACTTATGGCCTTTTGTGGCTAAGCGCTCGTCTTACATATCCCACTGCCAACTATCCTACAACATATGCACATGTGGGAAGCTCCAAAGCTACCGCGGGCTGTAAAGGGGAAGGCCTGGCAGCTGAGGAGGGGGGATGAAGAGGAAGAGGCTCGCATTCAACCGTACTCAAAGCTCACTCTGACCCATACGCAATCACTCGCATTAGGGGTCACTCGTCTTCGTCGGCCCTGTCGCCCACGTGGACGCGCTATTGTAGCCGACCGCTCATGAACAGACGCTCACCACGGCATGACATAAAACATGAGATGCACAGATGGGGAGCTCCACGCAGTGAGTAATTGTTGTTGGTGTTGGTGTTGGTGTTGGTGTTGGTGTTGGTGTTGGTGTTGGTGTTGGTGTTGTATTGCTATTGGTACCGTTAGTATTCGCATTATTCTCGCGTCAGTATTACAAGTGTTCTAGATTATGAACGCTTCGCGTAACCACACCAGCCGCTGAGACACTTTGGATGTGCACACGCCACGTTGTCGACCGTGTATCGTGCACTACGGCGCCCTTCCACTCGTGGATCTGGGCTGACGCATCTCAGTTGTGGAAGGTTCTCCTGTCAGCATGTTCCACACCCTGGATGCGCGTTCTGGCGTCGCGACTTGGTGTCACCGTCAGGATTTTCCGCTGGACTTATGCCCCCAGTCAGTCTGTGTTACCCGTCAGACTCCCTGGACCGATGTCCTCGGGAACGTTCCTTTCTGTTCGCATCTGGACTTCTGGGAACGCCTCACGCGCCATTTTGGCTGCGCTTGGTCTCCTCGGTGCCTGTCCTCAGGCTCGTTGGATGCACCGTTGCATGCCCGTCCAGGGGCTGTCTCAGACTCCCTGGATTGCACGTCGGCTGCCGCCCTGGGCGCTGCCTCCTCCGCCGCCTGATCCGCGGCCCCCGCGCGCGCTAGGCAATTTAATCGCGGCCGTAGCCCGCCCGCGACCTCTCGCCGCTGGCGCTTCCGCCTGCGGCAGTTTATATATATATATATATATATATATATATATATAATATTACCTAACAGCGAAGACTGATAGGTTTCTAGTAGTTTCAAAAGAGAGCAGCAGATGACTCCACAGGGGGGTCTGGGCGGGTGCCGGACAGGGTGCCGCAGAAGTCGTTTTAAGCCAACAGTCACACACTTCGTGCTCTTCGACCTCCCAGAACTCCATTCCCGGGCCACATTTTTGAGCCAATGCCCGGAGCCAACATTTTGTAGGCCACTTCGTGCTCTTCGAGACCCCAGAACTCCATTCCCGGGCCACATTTTGAATGCCCGGAGCCCACTGCAGGCCACTTCGTGCTTTTCGATTCCCTAGAACTCCATTCCCGGGCCACATTTTGAATGCCCGGAGCCAACTGTAGGCCACTTCGTGCTCTTCGACTTCCCAGAACTCCACTCCCGGGCCACATTTTGTATGCCTGGAGCCAACTGTAGGCCACTTCGTGCTCTTCAAGTTCCTAGAATTCCATTCCTGGGCATGATTTTGAATGCCCGGAGCCAATTGTAGGCCACTTCGTGTTCTTCTAGTTTCCAGAACTCCACTCCTGGGCCACATTTTGAATGCTGAGGCAGGCTGATGCTGCGGCCGAGGCAGGCTGAGGCTGAGGCAGGCTGAGGCTGAGGCCGAGGCTGAAGGCAAAC